TGGCCAGTGAAAGCAAGCCTCCAAATGGCCTGATTTGTCGAACAGCGAAAGGGGGGTTCGTCTTTCTTGGTCGGCCCCCTGTCTCGGTGTCCTAAAGCCCAGGCTCAACAGGCTGGGCTAGTGCGCCTATCATGATTCGCAGCGGTCGTCTATCACGGGGAAAGAGGCGTGAAATGCCGGACGAATTGGGGTCAACCCAACTGGACCAGTAGCCCAGGTGGGTGCTGACCGCCAAATTCCAGCACTCTAGGTTGACCCACACCCGAATTTCAGCCGGCGCAGTCGACTATGAGGGAAAGGTCAGTCCCAGCAACATCGGTCATACCTTAGAGACGATCGTAAGCAGACAGCCTGCAAGGCAGAGTTTACAGTGTAGATTCTAGATTGTCAAACTCCTAATTAGAAAGGCGGGGGGGGGGGATGAAAACCAAGATCACCGTATCTTAAGGTTGCTGACACATCTAGCAAATAGCACCATGGAAATCGTCGCTACAGCGAAAATTTCGCTTCGTGGGCAGTCGCAAATGGAAGGCAAGTCAACGTGCAGGTGCAACCTGCACATCTGCGGGCTGGGTGGCGGCAGTGACGAGAGCCACGGAAAACAATGCAATTGCATTGGACAACAGACTGCACAGACAATCCATCTAACCATCCAGGAAATCACGACACCTCGCCTACGAGTAAGACTAGACGACCGAAATAATCGGAGGAAGGACTACCTGGGCGTCCCAGCATTACGCACAGATCATGTGTTCTGAAGGCGATCTTCGATTCGAGGATTGCTCGCACAACTTAAACTAGACACTACCTACCAAAGTAATTACACGCATGCAAATATACAGCTTTAGGCAAGGACGATGACAGTCGGTCAGACCTCGACGCAATTCGCGCTTTCCATCGCGGCTCAGCGGTCCTTCCATCTTCGAAGCTCGAGACCTTTGGTCCATCGCTTCTAGTATAAGGGGAAGGCATCTTGGTTCAGGCGGTCGCGCTTACCTAAGGTAAAGTCAGGAATGGGAGGAATGGCAATTGGTCCACATCGGGCAGCTGTTGATCCATCAATTGATACCTGACATTGACAATCCACGACGACACTGTCGCCGTTGGGCTCCCACAGCTACCGACTGTAGCCTTCTCTCCGAGCCATCAATAACCGAAACCAGACTAGAGCATCCCCCTAAAATCCAACGTTGCTTTAAGTCTCCTTTACGTATTCGTGAGAGACAATCTCAGGATTGAATTTTATATCAAGACCTAAATGTGCTCTTCTGTGGCCCTGTCATTGTAGCTGAACCAACTCTTCATCTCACTCCCATTTGCTGCACACCGACCTCGGGTACACGTCCCGCAGGCCTTGAACTAAAGGCCGAAAACCCCATCCGGGACCGAATAAATGGCCCAGGTAGTCACCGGCCGCAACGCGGTCACGCTCGCTCGCTCGATCTATCTTCATCAAGCTGTGGTAGCTGTTACATGCTGCAAGACTTTGCAGAATAGATGCTGGGTTAGTGAACTTCATGTTGTGACACCGAGTATAATCCCGCGCTTATACTACCCTAGTACCTCCTGTGAAACCTCAAATTGGCTCAATTTTCAGGCCTGGCGCCACAACGCGACATGTCATATTTGTTGAAAGGAGGCCGACGTTGGCACTGCGATATGAAAGCCGTTTCGGGCGACCTGCAGCTTTGATTCTGCAGCGAGAGGGCTCAGTGTGCTTCAGACTGTGCTTTACATGACTACGCCTGCACCTGGACGCTGTGTCCCTCCAAGGTACGGAGAGCCCAAACGCACAGTGCAGGTCAGGGCACGACTTCCTCGCCAGATGCCAACCCCATGGAACGCCAGCATTTCTTCTGCTCATCTCAGCTGAACCAGGCTCAAAGAAGAGTAGAGCAACATGTTATCATCCAGTTTCGAGCCATATACCTATGACTGAGGCAGTTCAACGACGATCTGGCACCCATATTTGACCTCTATCCTATGCAAGGCATAATTAGTCGTTGAGAGTCTGGTGCAATCCTTGTTGCCTCCCACTGATCTTCACTAGTGGCTCTATTGGGCAGATGAAGACGTTAGCCTCTTGAAGGGTCGGGCCTTGGTACGTATGCAGAGGACCGCTCCGTCATAACCCCCGCTACTTCAAATGGTGAAGATTAATAAAGCACTATTGTATCTGTTCGCTAATTAGTATCAGTGATCCCGTTTGTGTGATAGCCCCCCGAAAGTCATTGTTGTGTAATTGACCTTGTACCTTTCGAAGCTGGTCTAAATCTGGGCGAGGCGGCTTTGCATGCAGAAGGAATGCAGATTGCGCATCCGAGAGGATCATCATGAATCAGCATCGTGGTTTTTCTACAACATCCAGGTTTAGATCAACGGATCATCCAGACTGCTAAAGACAGCAAACAAACAAGGCGCAGCAAGCATGGTTCAGACAAACAAATAGCCAGGCGACCCTGCATGTCTGGACCATGGGTGTCTTACTTGACCTCCGTCGACATTATTGGTTATAGACGCTTGACCCAGGGCGCGGATCTCTTTCCTGCTTCGCAGATATGAGCCAGGACTCCGGCAGCCCTGTTCTGTCCGCCCCGTACTCTCAGGCGAAGGATGTGCAAACCAACAGAAGGTATGGCTTTATTGGTCCTTGTAATAGCGCGCTGCCACTTCATCTCACCGGTTTCCAGTGCACCTTCATATGGTCATGAAATACAAAGCTGTGTGGCGTTGATCCACACGCTGACGCTGCAATGACGGGATTTGCTCCATTGTGCTGTCTCGTGGACCGTCGATTCTTTCCTTTCATGCATTTCTCAATCTTCAAATGACTCGTCACTTCCGAGCGCGGGTTGTTTCTAACTTGATACACAGGGTACTCGTAACAGCGAGGCTCTAGCGAGGAGACCGACTGTACGCCGCTCTTCTCGTTCCACCTGAGGCGAAGAGTTTCATCACCTCTCAGTAGGATATACCCAAATTTACCCCGGGTCGAGTAAACGTGGGAAGATAGTCTCCTGGCTCTCGCTCTCAAAGAACAGGAATTCACGATCGTATTTCAAAACGCCATGCCCCCGCTATCCGGATTTGCTGGGTGGGTGATCTACCTGATGGTCCGATTCCTATACACCCTTGCACAACCCATTGATCGAGCACACGATACTCTCATCCTATTGAGTCACTCGAGTGGGCCGCACGAAACGATTCCTTCTTTTGGATCTTATTGCATTAATTTAGGTGGTGTGTTAGATACGGAATAGCTACCCAACAGCGACGGTGAGCCGTCGGCTGCCGCAACTATGTTGCAGCCACCTCATACAGCGGGAGTGACTGCCGATGGTGAGGAGGTGAGTCGTTATCCGCGAGACTCTGCTGGACAAAGGGGTGGCTCGGTAACAGAATGGTGCCGCCTCTAGCTCGGGCGGCCAAGAACCACCACCACATGGTCTCAGCTTCTGCTAGCCAAGGAGGATCCTTGAAGCTATTTTCAGCAAAGTAGGATCATCAGAACGATACACAATCTCTGCTATGTTGGTCAATGAGGATGAGAGGTATAATCCTATGATGAAAGATAAGGGTAGGATGGTGACGGCACGCCGAATCCGACGGTTCAGGCATCAAAGTTCGTACATGTCGCAAACTTTGCCAGTGCGTCAAAAGAAGAGTCCAGAGCCTGCAGCTCGGATATTACCCTTGCAAATACTGCACGACTAGCTCAGTTGTGTGCTGGTTGTTGAGGACATCCTTACTGCCACAGCCAAGGTTAGCATTGTACTCTCCGGTTTGGCCATACTATCGTCGAGTCGTTGCGGATCTGCCGGCATACACAAGTAGTCCTAAGCCATCTATCAAGGCTTGCCGATGACAACAACAAAGGCTCATACTTTTCATCTTGTGGGAGAGACAGTCTGTTTTGTCCCGAAAATGACATACATGATGCTGAGGGTAAGATGTCCTTTGAAATCAAGAGCCGGCCACTTTGCTCCCATGATTGTCTGAAAACAGTATCCCGCCATGGCAAGACCAAGCTATTGTGCCGTCTCCGACTGGCAGCCTCCAATCCTGCAGTGTCGCTCAGACAATGTGGCATTCACACCCCCGAATCATCTCATTGGATTCTCGGAGATTCAAGTTGATTAGCTCCTGCTGTACAACGTAGCCTGCTTTTGGAGACTAGATTCACCAAAACAGCGGCCAATGATTCCATGGGGGTGAAAAGAAGAGGCGCATGTCAATGCACAGAAGTGATACCAGAATCGGACAGCATCTTGTCTTTATACCAGTACCCAAGAGAGTGGCATGATTTAGTCAGCCTGATTGGTTGAACATACGAAGAAGTTAATTTAATTGCACAGACAAGCTAAGAGTTCATAAATGGTCCATGACATTAGATAATCTCCCAGAGACGGATCAGCAAATATCTTACGTTTAACAGCGTGTTGAGTAAAGGTGACACTAGTGCAGACTTTGGAACGAGGAAGGGGCTACGAAAGTCGTGATCGTCGTTCTGCTCAGACCTAGTTACCTAGGTATTCAATGCTCTTGTCACAACAGGTCCAAACGTTTCAGCAAGTGTTAGAATGAGAGTACGGAGGATTGAAGCTTTGTACCTGCTGTCATGGTGAGTTGGCGCTATATACCTAGACGATTTGTATGGGGGTCAAACGCTTTTCGCCATGTGATTGGCGGAGGGTCTCAGGAGGTCGTCTGGCGGACATTCAAGTGAACAGCAGCTCCGAGTCATCTCTACCTAAGCCGTCGTAACACCGCCACATTTCGACGTTGTGCCACTAAATCTCCCGGCGACGTTCAACGACTTCCGCTAAGGCAGCGATCCCGGACAAAGCATCTGGACGAGCAACTTCAAAATCGTCACGGCACACCCATCCCCAGCCAGCTCGTCCACCCGCCGATTTTCCCCGACTGAAACGTCCGACTAGCCTCCCGACCAGACAGCCTGGCATATCAATCCTTAGGCACGTATCTCAACGATCAGAATCATGGCTGGCAAGAAGGGGGCCGACAACAGTAAGAAAGCAGCCGGCCAGGCGCGCAAGGCCGAGGCAGCAGCACAAAAGCAGGCCAATGAAGATGCAAAGAGGGCAGCTGCAGAAGACGCAGATTGGCAGAAGGGCTCAAAGAGCAGTGCAAAAAAGTAGGCATTTCCCCATTCCCTTTGTTCTCACTACTAGTCGGCACCGACATACGGTACTTCCTCTCCTCCCTGTGGTCTGGGGTAGCGACTGCTGTTATCCGTCGCCGGTGCGACAAAACCGCGACGTGTTTGCGGAGAAGAGACAGATCACTGACCACTGCATTCGTGAACAGGGAGGCCGAGGCTGCAAAAAAGGCGGAGCAAGCTCGAAAGAAGGCGGAGCGCGATGCTATGCTTGCCGAAGAGGAGAAGAATAACCCAGGCCGGTCGGCCCCAAAGAACAGCAAGGCCGCACAGAAGAAGACTAGAGGTCTCGACCTGTCACAGCTCGACGACAATAGTGGGCTTGCGGCACTGAATGCATCGGGTATCGACAACGCACTCGATGCGCTCTCCCTGACGGCGTCGGGCTCCGATGGCAAGGTCGACAGGCACCCAGAGAGGCGGTTCAAGGCTGCGTATGCCGCATACGAGGAACGGCGGCTGAGCGAGATGGAGGTCGATGGCACTGGTCAGGGCCTAAGGCTAAACCAACGGAAGGAGAAAATCAAGAAGGAGTTTGAAAAGAGCCCGGAAAACCCATTCAACCAAGTCAGTGCGAGATATGATGCTACCAAGGAGGAGCTTGCGCAGATCAAGGCACAGGAAAAGGCGAAGATCGAGCAGAGACTCGGGTCGAAGTAAGGCAGGTTGCTCACATAGTACGAGCAATTTCAACGGTTGAAGTTACAAAATCTTAGTCCATTTTTGCCTAGACCCATAGATGTTTTCCGATGATACCTATACATTCTTCCACATGGCCTTAACTATGTCATTTTCCTACTACAACCTCCATTTTCGAAGTCTCACCTTTCATTGTTCATCCTCTGCGAGGGGATCTGAAGAGCCCCCTCTCGTCATTAGGCGGGGTGTCTCATGTATTGTTATCGATAAGAGAAAGCGGCAGAATGCCTCACCGCTCAAAGCCTACCGCATAACCTCGACAACCTTCGGCTACATTGTTCCATGTATTCGATTTGTCTCAGCTTCGTAGACTTGCTTCAAAGTCTTTTTCTGCAGTATTGACGATGGCGGCCACGAAAATGAGCGCGCTGCCAGCAATGAGGCGGCAGAATTTGCTGGGGGAGTTGTAAGCCATGGTCTCCTACCTCATATGGTTCTGTCCAGTGTAGCTAACCCCTGATTCTATAGCGCCGGTCTCAAGCAAGCATGCCCTCAAGGTGTATTTGTGAGCTTGACACCAGGTGACCCGACACTATGGTCTGGCGTTATCTTTGTGCGGAATGGTAAGACGTGGTGTTCGAAGGGATTGACTAGACGCAGCAGCTGATGACAGTGAACAGGCCCATATGCTACTGCTGTCTTGAGATTTTATATATCTTTTCCTGACGCATACCCTAGTCTTCCTCCACTTGTAACATTCTCTACTGATATGTTTCATCCTCTCATCACACCTTTGACCACGTACATGTACACCACCGACATCCAGGATAACGGCACTGTTAGTGCGACTGATGAGGAGCGACTGCCGCCAGGCGGGTTCAGTCTGCGGCACGGCTTCCCCGGCTGGTTCGGGCGCGGACGGAGGAGTAGGCAGGTGAGCGGTCAGAATGCTACGGCACAGACGCCGCCAAGGTCGACCCCGGGAAATGCCAGCAATTCGACAACTCCGAACTCCAAGGCTACACCGCCCAGTGGTACACTGTCTTTTATGCAGACTCAGCAGAAGGATGTTTCGACATATGATGTTCTGCGGTATATTCGTAGCACATTCGATGACGAAGACGTACTTGATTCTGTTCCCCTCGAGGCTGCTGGGAATCCCGGAGCATGGCATGCATGGCGGACTCATCGGCACCAAGCTACTTCTGGGAGTGCAAGTGGTGTACCACGTAAACCCGGCGAGTGGGACTGGGAAGGAGTGTGGGAAGAGCGAGTGAAGAAGGGAATAGCAGCATCTCTATCCGATCCGATGCTGTTTGGCAATGCCAGCGGCGCTGATGACACAGTAAACCCTACCGTTCCTTTAACTCAGACGTAACGTGCTGACTTACGATACTAGATTCGGTTCCTAAGTATGGAGGACGATGAAGTCCAGGTCATTAAAGACAATTTGGCAAGAACTCTCGGGGTGTCTGGGTAGATTGTATGTCGCTCCTTCTTAGAAGGCGAGCACAACTGTTTGCACGCTTACGGCTTAGCCTACCTGATCACCGGGAAAGAGGGATGGGTTGAACTGAAGTGACTCCTGCCATGTATTGACTTAGCTAATGATACCCAACATCTGCGTGTATTTTCCCCCACTACCTATGCTGAACTCCCATCTTCACATTTCTGAAGAAATAACATCTTTCCAATATGGGTACAACAGCCCGTGGCATCGTGATTCTACTACTTGTACCGATAGCCGTTGTGGCCTGTATTACCTTTCTTATTCTCAGAGGGCGGGCCATCTGTCTATCCAGTCCTAGTCAAGTAGCAGCAGATCAGCATCTTCATCCTACTCAAAGATCTCATCTCGAGAAGCCAACGGTCAGAGTGGACTCCTGGACCGATCTGAAGAGCATCGCACCCAGGAAAGACACCTCAGTCACCAAAGATACGGAGTCGACCCATCGCGACTCACCATCCCTAATATGGCATCCTCGTCGATACAGCCGCCTCAATTGGAGCTTTTCCAGCCTCACCACCCGTCGCAAGTAGGTGATGTCCGGCCGCTACATATCATCAAAAGAGTCAGCACCAAAGACAATTTGGCTGGGAATCGGAGGCAATGCAGTTCCACGACCGACGATAGTGGCCAGAGTGCTACCGATCCTCCCGGGTCTGAGCTGCCACTGACTATTCCCAAGCGCCGGGACAGAGACAAGCGCAGCTCCGAAATTCTCCAATCGCTAGACAATGTTGATGACAATGCACTCGAATCTAACACTACCCCAGCGCGTCCGTAGAAAGGTAAGCATATGAAATTATGATTTGGTCCAGTCACTTACGACGCACAGGAAGTGTCGAAGGTCTGCTGCATGAGACGAGTTCGCCTCGGTATCCATGGACATCTATCAATGTGCTGTACGGTACACCCCTGGGCTTTTTCAAGGACACATCTTCTCCTTTAAGAAGCAGTCCGTTGCTTAAATCAGCATGTGGCTATCAAGATATCCTGCCAACCGACAGCAAGACGTCCTTAGTACATCGTTTACCCAACGTTGGACTGAGTGGAATTCAGTGCTCGCCATCTAGTCGAAAATGCTCTGGCGCCTCGGATTCGTGTTCTATGCCTGTATCTCATACCGGCAGTGATCAGAAGTGCAATACGGATCTCTTTTCAGATATCAGGGTGCACCAGGGATCCGAAAGGTCGATTTCTGTGCAGCCGTCGATACTAGTCCCCGAGGTCAGAATAACTCCAGAGTGTCGAGTCCTCGGCGAAGGACAGCGTAGTTTCTGGGCTGCTATCGAGATTTCTACGAAACTGAGTACCACAAATCTCAATGGTGAGGTTTCCACGAGGAACGCCAAGTTCGGGAGAAACTCGGGGAGTCAACCATGGGACATCACTTCAGGTAACATTCTCCCTAACCTCTTTGTGAATATGTCTGACAGGTCATAGATCTGACCGCGTTTGGTTATCTGTACGGTTTTCAGGTCAACGTGTCGCCAACGCAAAACAGCCACATCCAGGAGATTTTAGGGTGTGAGACAACACCAACGTAAGGGCTCACTGATCATCCCGCATACCTGCATTTTACTGATTGTTAGTAGCTTGTTGTTGCCTGGCTCGAAAACACTCCTGCTGGTGAATATCTACCTTCTCCGCACTCAGCAGCCTAGGCGGAAGATGCATGTGAGACAACGCTCGGACGACTTGATGGAATATCTTGAGATGCAACTCGGCAGCATTGAGAGTGAATACATGGAAGTGCGATTGACGTACAGCCATTCCGCGTTTCCTCATAGCGACCATGGAGACCATGATTCCGGTATTGCCTCGGTTGAGACTAGACTAGAGACGACACTTACAGCATCTATCAAACGTCATAATCCCTCTTCGCCATGGTCACCGCCTCCTGCACCAATACCAAATTATATATTTGATATTGTGGGGTCATATTGGGGCAAGTCTGCCGTGGATGGCCTTTTACAGAAAAATCTTGCCTTTCAGATCACACCTCGGAAGGCTGCGACCCTTGCTTGCAGGGCTCCGCCTGTTGATTGTGTTGTGGAATCTCGTTCTGTCCATTCGTTAAAGAGCAGTACCCCAAGCATCCCGTCTAGACGGAGCAGCTTGAGACAGGCCTCCTTGGAAAGAAGTCTAGATCCAGCACGGAAAATCTGGGCTGAGATGCGTCGTGCCTCATCCTCCTCGAAATCTTATCAGAAGCAATCGCCGTCTGTTTGTGGTGAGAGGGCTGGCCCCCTTTCAAGCTGTCTCGGTGTCTCAAGCAGCCCAGGTCGCGGGGAGGTTAATAAGCGACGACAGACACTTCGTGAAACTGCTTTGCGCAATCAGCGATCCATAGGAGCAGATACGCTGCGAAGCCTTGTGCCGACTATGGCTGAATCGAGTATTGACGAGAAGCCTGTACATAAGCGTCGTATCGAGAAGGAGAACAAGGCGATTGGCACTAAGACAAGGAAGGATTCGGGTCGTTGGCCTTGGGCTAGTTGGTGGTAGTTGTAGTTAACTATGCTATACAAGTTTTTGTTTGAACTTCAGATTTTGGGCATGACAGATATGGTAGAGTTCAAGAAGAGCCCCAAGTACCTGGATAGAAGCGAAGCCTGTCTGGTGCCAGGAGATACTAATGTCATGAATGTGCATTAGGGCAAACATATCGTAGATCTAATAGAGTCATGGAGGTACGATTCATACAGTGGTCTATTTTCTTACATAGAGGAACATTGCTATCCATGAAGGGGGTTGTCAACTACAGGGTAAACGAGAAAGAGGAGATTTGTTTTTTTGAGCCAAACGAGAACCGTGCGCCTTGCAATGCTTTATGAAGGTATCCGTGCCCGTGGCAAGGAGACTGGCCACATGCCAATCTCCAGGTTGAGTATCCGCATCATATCTTTCCTATACACCGTTGTTTTGGGAGGCTGACAGAGTCTACCTTTTCTGCCTGGCCCGCCTGGTATTTGTTGTTTATATGGTCGTACAAGTAGTGGTATTATAGATTTACAATCATAATTTTGTGTGAGCACACTCGCTCTCGAGAGGCCTCACCTTATCAGAAAGGAATGAGAGCCTAGAAAGAAGAGCGCTGCTGGTAGCGATTGTCCCGTCTCTCGAATCGGTTGGACAGGCTGTCGAACCTGTCGCCACCTCTTCCGCGTCTGTCGTCGCGGAAGCCACCCCGCCGGTCGTCGCCTCGTCGGTCATCACCTCGTCGATCATCACCTCGTCGATCATCACCTCGTCGATCATCGCCTGATCTGCGGTCTCGAGAGCTCTGGGCGATGTTGAGACCCCGAACCCTGGTCAGGCCACGCAGCTTAGCCGTGTGGGCGGACATGGCAGGCGGTTCTTCCCAGCCCCATGCATGCTGTACCCAGTCATTGAGCTGATCGACTGTGTCCTGAACGTCGCCGTTCTTCATTGCTGACAACGATGCGAAATATGCATGGTGAAGCACGTCCTTCGAAATCTTCTTCATAGCATCGTTAACGCGAGTAACGTGCTCCGGCAGCGCCGACTCGTCCGTGATGGCAACGTGGACCTCAGCGCTCTCGAGCCCGTCGTGGCGCTTGATGGGAAGGCCAGGCAACTCCCGCCTCGCGTAGGGCAGATCCTTCTCAGATACAATCAGCCATCCTTGACCAGACTTGTTCGCTCTTCCGGTTCTTCCGATTCGGTGAATGTACTGCTCTCGGCTAGGGGGAACGCCAACTTGTATGACGTGACTGACGTTGGGGAAATCCATGCCTCTTGCCGTCACATCGGAAGAAAGTAGAATGGCGGAAGTAGCACGTCGGAAATGCGTGGCGGCCGAGGTCCTCTGAGCCTGGGTCTTCTTCGAGTGGATGTCGAAAACTGGCGGCAGATCTTTGTGGGTACGGTAGAGAACATTGAACACTTCTGTAGCGACCTCAACCATGGCAGTGGTCGAGAAGAACACTATGGCCTTGAATGGTTCCGGACCGTGCTCGCCGCTTCGTGCGCGGTGAACGAGCTCAAGGAGTGTCGGGAACAGATTCTCGTATCCCTTGACAGAAACAATGTGTTGAGGTACCTTCTCATGTGTCGGGGTGTCATCGGCCTTGATCGTCTGGACGAATTGGAAGTTGTTGGCATCAACGTAAGTTCGGGCAAGCTGCACCACATCCTTGGGAATCGTAGCAGAAAAGAGAAGAGTTTGACGAGGAACTTGCGAACGATCAGGGAGCAGGTTGATGATTTCTCGAAGCTCCTTGTCAAATCCGACATCCAGCATGCGGTCTGCCTCGTCGAGCACCAAATTTCTCAGCATTGGCGCATCGATACCGCTGTGATCGTCCGAGAGCACGTCATACAGGCGGCCTGGGGTAGCAACCAAGAGATCGCAGCCATCGTAACGGGTTTTCCTCAACATAGCAGACTTCTGAGTACCTCCAACTGCTGTTTGTACGCGAATACCAGTATGTCGGCAGAGATTTCGGGCTTCAGCGCCAATTTGCTCGGCAAGCTCGCGAGTGGGCGACACGATGATGGCGCGGATGTCGTCTGCTCTTGCTCGTCCTCGACGCGGATCAGCCAATCGTTCGTCTTCGGTGATCATTCTTTGCAGAACTGGGAGCAGGAAGCCGAGCGTCTTTCCGGTACCGGTCTTCGCCTGTGCGACACTGGTTGATGAGTTAGTCCAGAATATCATGCAGCTGTACAGACTCTACGCACATATCCTTGCCAGCTAGCCCCGGAGCGATTGTCATTGACTGAACATCCGTCATTGTCTCATAACCCATGTCTTGAGTGATAGCCTTCAAGAGAGTGTCATGAACGCCGAGGGATTCAAGGTCGGCGAATCGTGTGATCGGGCCGGACGGAGCCCCCACGTCTTGCTCTACCTGCTCGGCAGTGGCGCTTGAGTAGGAGCGCACCGCAAGGGGAGTATAGGCTGATATCCGTGAGATCGAGGCTATCCTGTTGACTGGCTTGGTCTGTAGGCGGATGGATGATCGCAGCAGAGCAGGAGAGGCAACGCGCCGCGCGCTGCACAGTCCAGCCTGTCGGGCGAGAGTCCTCTTGAACATCTTGGGTGATTGACAATGGAGGTCCAAGATAGAAGACTTGATATTCACCAAAAGCACTCGAAATCCGTCTCCTGGCCTCAAGCAGCAGCAGACTTGATGGTGGAAATCGAAAGCACGAAGGTTGCAATTGTCGCTGGAAATTTTCGGAACGCTGCTGTCGCAAGGTATGATTGAGAGCAGCTTTAGCTCTGCCGCAAGTGAAATTTTGTCGGAGATCGGGCAATCATTTGGCCTATCAGCTGCTCCCAGCATAAGCGTCCCGTCCCATTGGTGATCCCTGCAACTCATCTCCTTCGGACCCCTGCCCCAATTATTCCTCTTGCTGAACATTGGAGTGCCCTATTGAGATGGATGGGTAATTGAATGTATGTATATGTTCTAGAAAATCCTTGTGTTCTATATGTCATTTACACGTGTAATCGTCTAAAATCAGCCGTGATATCTTCGCAATTCCAGCACCAGACGCCGCCTATATCCTGTGCCGTATGTATCCTGTCTATATTCATCCCCAAGAAATCATGGCCGTTTCGCGTTAACTGCGGCAAGGCCTTCTCCTACGCCATCTGAAAGCCCACCGGCAACTCCCTCAAGTGCCCATGAACAAGCACTGGCCAAAGCCTGCCCGACCTTGCCATCTCCCATGTTGAAAATTGCTCCAGAGAGGGTTACACTGCCACGGCCAAAGGCATTGGCTAAGTCCATCGCTTGTCCAACCACATTTTCTGAGACCTTGTACTTTCGCTCCAGCTGCGCCGCCTGCCGGAAGAAGAAGATGACATACGGCATGATCAAGTGAAGTAGTATGAAAATCTTGACAACCACTCTCTGAATGGATCGATGAAGAAGGTTAGGATTCTCTGGCCCGTTTGTCAATCTCCCCTGCCCATTCTGCTCTTCCATGGTTTTCGGCAGAGACCGCCGTATGGCTGCCAACTCTGACTCGTCCAAATCCTGAGGTAAAGCCTTGAGAAGATAAGAAACGCCATCGATATACGCCTTGCGCTCGAATGACGGACTGCGCATAGCAGCATCCTGATTTGCTTCTCTGAGGGACGTGCCCATGAGATTGAGTCCTGGTTATCCCTGTCAGCGAATGTTGCACAGCATCTACACGGATTGCCTCACCTAATTGGCCGCATTTCCAGTCTAACCCAGACTGTTGCTCGGTTGAAAGCACAATAGAACGATCTTGAGTGACAATCTCGAGCATCTCTGGAGTTACTGGCCGCTGAATCTGGTCCGGGTTCAGTCTTTGTAGGGCTGTCGTCTGTGCCTCGGTTTCGGCAGGTATCCGGGGATTCAATGGGTAGTCGGGCTGGCAGGATTTGACGCGACCGCGAAAACTCACGGATCTGCGCAGAGATTGTAGAGGCGGGAGTCTTGACTGGACCACCGAGGGTAATACTGAAAACATGATGGACAATCTCCCCTCTTCAACTTCGAAATCGTGGTGGGCAACTGCCCGTTGATAAACTGGAGTAGTGCCCTGTCGAACTGGCACGGGCATTGTCGCATGAAAGGGCTATCCAGGAGAGAAATAGAGTAAGAAGCAAAGTTTAGCTAGAAAGAGGCGACTTTCTGAGCGCCAGTCCCAAATATATGTCGTTCTATGTCTAGCATTCCATGGCAAGTGTGAGGCTAGATTCACCTGCTGTTAGACCATGTACCTGGTAGATCTGTGTGGACAGCAGCAAAAGGCATTGGCTGAAAAGCTCCCAGGAATGCTTGCAGTCAATAAGTTAAAAGCAGTCTCCAAGCCAGCAGACGTCAGAAGGAATATCGCATGCCTGTGCAACATAGATCGAGACAATCAGGATCGCTACGAATTGAAGATCGCCTTCCTCTAACCAGCAACAAGCGTTGAAGATAGAGACGGTCGTTGGGGGAAATGTTGGGATGAAGAGGATTGGACAGTAGGGAAACGTGAGTCTGCGAAAATGCATGTGAAAATGGGCGGCGAAACGACCCTGCAGACGCTTATATGCGCTTAGCTTATCTGCCACCCACTAAACTTCAGCAGTCGCTGTCACGCTCAAGCATCAAGCAGCATGCATGCGAGACGACATACATTGACTAATGAGGGAACTAACTAGCCAGCTGCACTTCGCTGAGTTGCTTCCATGCGTGTGGGTCTCCCTTGCAAACGTGATTGATTCACAGGATCCTGTCTGCCGACTGCGAGATCTCGGCGGTGCACAATGCATGTCTTTCGCAAGATCCCGCGCCCGGTCACAAGAGTAAGCGGCTAGTTATAACTCAAGCCCCGTAGACAGTCATCCAGTCCCGAGGTCATTACAAGAAGTCAGGTCCTCGAATCTGCTGGCAAACCTTATGATCGGCAATTCTTGACGCTGTTGGTTAATCCCTAGCCCTTCTTTGAACTCTATTTTGTAAATAGCAGTAATGTGCGTATATGATTGGAACCTCGTAACATAGAAGAAGGATCTGGGAGATAGCAAAGCCCAAGAGTCGTGATACCAAATATGATACTGGAACTTGAAGCCCCTACATTCAATCGTCTCGTGGAATTAAGGCTACTCTTATCACCGTATCTGAATGAGCAGACATGTGCAAACTATATACAGCCTCGTGTGGACTACGAACTGCAATATATGCATCACTCCTTAGCATATCAATCGTTGAAGCGATACGCCCTGGTCTCATGTATGTGTATCCATCTCGTCTTTAAAGCTTTATTGAGAATACTCATATATCTAGTTGGGTCCGAGACGATATACACCATCCCACACGCATACATCTTTGTCGAGTCCTTCCCGTTCGCCCATAATGCAGAGTCGTAAGACACCAGTCGATCCGAAAACCAAAACCCCATCGATTATCGCTCTGTTTCAAATCAATACCTCAATTCCCCGAACCAGACCCCGCCTTCTCAGCAGCGATCTTGGCCTCCATCTTCTTCCGTGCTGCTAGGATCATCTCGTCCCTCCTCTTCTGTAGTAACGACTGCCGCTCGTCTCGGCTCGTGCTCCAGCCTTTCTTCCCACTCTGATCGGCGGCCTCACTCGCAGAGGCGGCGGCAACCTTGTCCTGTAGATTGTACCTCGTGATCAAGTCCGGCTGGGCCGGCTTCTCTGCTGGCTTCGCTTGTGTCTGACCTTGTGATGTAGACGAGGACGCGGCGTTCGAGCCGGGAGGCGGTGGAGGTTGGAATGTTATCGGGGGCTGCGAAGAGGGTTAAGATGTCAGCACAGGCAAACAGCCGAGCTCCATGATCCAGGTGTAGGGCTCACCGTCTCCATCCTCCCGGCCAGGATCCGCTCCGTCGTGGCCGCGACATTGTTGCCGTCCCTCGACAGGTTCCACAGCACCGTCCGCCGGTCCACCTGCGGGAACATCTGCTGTATCCTCTCGCACGCGGCCTCCCTCTGCCGCAGCGCCGCCGCCGAGTCGCGGGGCTGCTGCGGCGTCGGCGCCGAGAAGAAGAGGTACCGCACGATCAGCCCGGACAGGACCAGGATCACGATCAGCGACGGCACGTTGATCTGCTGCTCGTTCGACATCCTGGGCATGTGTGCGCGCCTCGTTGGTTTCACACACGCATACACACACTCTCTGTCTCACTCACTCACTCTCTCGCTGTCCCGCCCCAATCGTTCTTGTATGCGGGAAGCGTGCCTCGGTAGCGATTATCTGTAGCGAATACTTGGCGGTATCGGGCCGCTAACGACGTAACGGGTGTTGCAGCGTGACGAGATTTCCGCGATGGGGCTTCCTCTAACGGTCGCGAAGGGAAAGCTGTTGGAGTTCACCAAAATGGGCGATCGGTCTCGTGGGGTCGGTTGGGGTTCGGCCAGATAGCTCCATGGGCCAAGGAAATAAGTCGAGGTGAAGGAGTAGACGGCGGCGATCCTACTGGTGTGAATCTAGTGATTGATTGGTTATCTCGGCATCCTCCGCACATGCAGTTTACCTGTGCTGTAGCCACTGTAGCCAGTTTATAGCGGGCTTCAGGGGCTACCACACCTAAATGACAGCGCCACAGTATGCGGAACTACAAAATCACAAGAAAGTAAAGCAGCAAAAGAAACCGAGAGGCCATTGAATGCACAGAGAAGATTATGTTTGGTCAATTCTCCAGTGATGAAGTTCGGAATACCAGTGGCCAGTGCCGGCGCATTTTCAGTCGCCTCCTTAGCGGAAACGCGCGCAAACCGATGATACCAAATACAGTACAAAGTCATTATCCACAAGCCATGCCATGATGGACCAAGTTGCGGACTCCATTGACGCCCTTCCGTTTCAGAACACCATCAACAGCCGAAAAGCTGGGCACAAGGCTGTGCGCTACGGGTATGAGAAGGAAGAAGTAGCCACCTAAGCAGTGGGACCCGGGGTGGTCTCCAAATCGGCATAATGCAGAGTAAACTCCCGCTGAATGTACATTAGTGACACTCCCAAAGATATGTTGTCTTTAGCACTAGACTTACCCTCTCCTTCCGCCAATTGACCGTGTCCCAGATGATGTAGTAGCCTCGCTCGTGGTTGGGGCTAAGCACTTGGGGCAACAGCATGTCGTCCTTCGTCAGCCAGATCTGAAGCTTCTTGTGCCAGCGCCAATTGCGGTTGTGCCTTTGAAGGTTAGCCTCTACAGTGTCACAATCATGGGACTTGACAACTTACAGTTCGCCAGCCGCCAGATGCTGCTTGATGTCGTTAGGCGAGCTGTAGAAGATCCACATCAACGTCTCCTCATTGAAGCTGGGGATCTTATGCTCGATAGGCTGCACATTGGTCACGTTGTAGCAATCGGGAAGTCGAAACTTCGGTACGGCAGGTCTCGGCGGTACGTCGTCGAAGAGCGAGTAGATCTGGGTGGAAATCGGCCTGCAGACAGTCAGCAAATTAAAAGGAGATTAGCCCACAGGATGTACTGACTCGTTAGAGTTGATGTCGACACCTAGGGTTGACGGGTCGATACCGCAGATCAGCGCGTTGTAGTCAGGGTAGTTGTTCATGAGCGTTCGCAGGCCTTTCAAACCCCACTTGTCGATAGGCGCCATGCCAGCTAGAGGGTCTTGAACAGCCGGAGCTTCGTTCTCGTTCTCCTCCTTCTCTTTGCCAGCGGGAACGTCGTTGCCAATCGCGCCTAGAGAACCCCGGGGTTCTGACGGCTGCGCCACCCCATCTGGTAGAGATGACTGAGATGCCATACTGTCTTCTCGAAAAGGGATCGACTGCTTTCGAGCCTCCTCATCTGTGGCAGATGATCTACCATCGAGAGGGCGCATAGCGCCTTTGATCGAATTAGTAAGGTGATGACAGGTGAGCTCATGATCAGGCGACATACCAACAGGTGACCGTGACTCCGCGGTTCGAGTGTTTGCAGATAGCGCATTCAATAGGCCATTGCCTGCTCGATTGCCTTGAGATGGAGAGGCACCCGCGGTGCCTTGGGAGCCGAAGCCCAAGGACGACATCAAGCTAGAGCCGCGCTCGCCGCCAATCTCACCATTTGCATTCCTACCTAGGGGTGGGAACTCGTCGACGCTGCCTGGCTGAGGCTGGGACGATTGTCCGACGTTGCCCTGAGCACCGAATCTGAACGAGCCCTGACTGGTGGAGTTTAGTCGCGATGGGATGCTGAACATGTCGTCTGGCTGGTTCTGCTGAGAGGGAATGGGTGTGCCCTGGTTTCTCTGGACAGGACCAGGTCCTCCCATATTTCTCGATCCCTGGTTTGCCCACATCGTCGCCGGATTCGCGTTGGGTTGTTGAGCGTTGCCTGAAAGTGACGGGAACTCCCTACAGAAACGTCAGTATTTTCTGAGGCGAAAACGGGCAAAGCGCAGAGCAAAACAAGCTGGTAAGCTGCTAGACGGATATGTTTGTGCTGTTGGATGAAGAAGGTGGAGGAAATATATTTATAGGTAGCTCATTACCTCTTCAGCGCCTGAGAGTAGGAGATAGGCTTGGCCGGACCGGGTGTATCTGGCTGCTGCTTAGATGCCATCTCAGTCTGCCTGGTCCTCTTGACCAACTTTGGTTTGGTAGGAGCAATGGTGCCAGCCATCTTGAAAGGGGGAAGCAAGAGAACGGATATAAAAGGAGGGCAAGTGTTGGCCTGTTGGCCACACGACGACTCGTGGGGATGGGTGTCTGCAGGAAAGAACAAGGTAAACCTACGAGAGATCCAGAGGTGTGGCCGGTGTCGACCCGCTTAAACTCTGTGCAAAGCTCACATTTCCTCCAAGTTGTCTCGAAGGGTTCTGCAGAGCTCCGCCATTGCCACCAGCAGCAGCACCACCACCACTCATGGGAACAGCTCCTCCAAACGCCCATCCAGATCCATTGCTTCCTACCATCATACCCCACAATCAGCATCTCGTTTGGAATAAGAGAAGCACTGCTTTTTGTGTCTTACCTAACTTTCCGTTTGGTAATCGATTTGACACTGCTCGGTTCTGTTGTTGTTGTGGTTGCTGCTGACCTCCAAATCCTACTGGTAGCCCCCGTAATGATTGGGGAGCGGCTCCTACATCGAGCAAAGGCAAAATTAGCAAACTTGCTATCAGATTTAAGACATCAAAGCAATGTAAAAAACCCATCAAGCACAGCTAACAAAGGAGATAAAGCACAGGTATGTTTTAACAAGACGAGCTCATGCGCAAGCTTGGACACATGGGGACAAGCACGCTGGTGATGAATTGTAGAGCATCAAGGACAGCTTGAAGAGCCCTTTTCCAGCAGCTAGCTCAGCAGCTGCCTTGTCGCAAACAACTCAGACGCAAGATATATCCGTTGAACAATGAGACAACTGTTGGTAGAGTTTGTACAAGGCGCAGAGGCTCATGCTTGAAGGGAATGCAAACGGCGGGGCACACGGGGGCCAGCTCGAGAGAAGACAGCGTTCGGTGGCCGTACCTGGTCTATTCATTGCGGACGACTCTGCTAACACGGCCAATTACGGAGGTATGCGAAACATGCGGCTCAGAAAGAGGGAATCGGCTCGGATCGCGGTTCGGGGCTGGTGAGGATGTTATTGAAGCTTTTGATCGTGAGGATTTGCACGGGCTGTCGTTGGAAGACACGAAAGGTTAGCGACGGGAAGTTGCAAGCAAACCGCAAACCGAATGCAGGGTGGTCTGTGCTTCCCCACTATGGACCCAGCTGCCTGCCTTGGGCTTGGGTGCGTGGTGCTGAAAAGGCGGCCAGATCTGGGCAAGCTAATGGACTAGGTCCTGCAACTTAGGCTTGAGGCTGGCCTGACAGGGGTTTTTACAGCTCTTCTCTTAGTTCACAGCTGCCTGGACATCACCCACCACTCCCAAAGTACCGTGCATTTCGAGCATTCATATTGCTTAATCCAGCAATTTGGCCTCGAGACGGAGCCAACATTTGATTACATGACCATGATGTCAATGATTGGAGTGTCTTGCGATGTAGTAGAACTCTAGAGTCATTTCTCTTGGTTGTTTCTAGATCTATGCCAGCTACGCGTGCCCAAGAGATTTTAAGAGACTGCTCCTGAAGTCGAAGCTCTTGAGGCCCCGGCCAATCAGTATGATCTTCCCAGATGCGCCACCCTGTGCCGTTTCGCCATGCGGAGAGTCGAAAATCTCGAATAGTTCCCTGACACCCTGTATCATCTTGATGTTGCCGTTTTGGAGTGTTAGCCGGCCCTTCAAACGATGTATCTCGAACGGTACGTCATGACTCGCCGAGTCATGTGGCAACTCATTCTCCCACAACACAGACCGCAACCACTCATCTATCCTATCGACTTGATCTGCCTCCAGAGCATCGACAGGTATTGATATTGTTGAAATCGTCTGCGATGTCTTAGATTTACGCAAAACATCATGATCATGAAAGGGAAACGCCACTTACCGGGTCAAGATGACTGTGGCCCTTGGAATTCCCTGCCAGGTCCTCAACATTGTCGTATGCATGTAGGTCCAAGAGAAACCCTTCGAGTTGTGGCACGACACTCTCTTTGGTAACGTGTATCTTTGCGAGACCGTTAATAGACTCGATCCTGTCTCGCACGTGTCGCAATTCCTCCTCGTTGACGAGGTCTGACTTGTTGATGACTATCACATCGGCATGCGATATCTGCACGTGCGCTGTTGTCATGATAGGACCATGGTCGTCATCGTGGCCCTCAACTTTTCCGGCCGGATCATCCAGACTTCGGAGGATGTTCTTGGCGTCGACGAGCGTGACGACGCCATCTAGATAAATTGTGCTGGCCAGACCCTCATCCACCCAGAAGAGAGGAGCTAGGTTGCCCGGGTCTGCCAAGCCTGTCGTTTCCAACAGGATGTAGTCAAACTTGCCCTTCTTCTCCATGAGTGACTCGATAGCCGCAACGCCGGTATCTCTAAGTTTATGGTCAGCTTGATGATCATGTGAGATCCGAGGCGCATGCCTTGAACTTACTTTACGGAGCAACATATACACCCATTTCCGACTTCCATCCATTCCTCTACGGATTTGCCATCCTTGTTCACCGTGAGAGACTTCTCTATGTCCAAAGCTGAACTATTGTCAGTACCTCGGCTAACTCGATATAGAGATCGGTCTACAACTCACAATCGCCAAATTCTGAACGTTTCGTCAGCAGAGCCATGGGGATTTAGAGACGGTTGGACGTACCATTCATTATGACAGCAATCTTTTTGCCATGTTCGGCCGTTAGAATGTAATTAAGTAACGTAGTCTTTCCCGCTCCCAGATAGCCTGTAACATATTCAGCAGTGAAATATGATCTGGAGAGAGATGTCCAACACTTACCCGTCACTATTGTTATGGGAACTTTCACAGGTTTCTCTTCATCGGCTAACTCAGTGCCAGCCTCCACAAGATCGGGAGGGGCGTCGTCGTCCAGATCCATGCTTAGCTTACTACTGGATGCGAAAATAAGGCAAAAAAATACAACCGAGTGAAGAGAGATTGCTGTTTGAGTTCGTTGTGTCGTTGAGTCGGTTTATTGACAACGGAGTTAATACTGAAAGTGAGCGTCTTCTGGTTCTTTCCGGCGCCCTTCCGTTTGTCAACTGCTGCTGAATATTAAGGGAAGTATAGCATGTCTTTGGCGCCACTGCTGTAAAGATGCCCCGCTATAGAGCTCTAAGTCGTGCAGGAGGAGCTCTAATTTTTCTGAGGGGCAATTCTCATTCGTGCCTTACCTAAGCCGATCACCCCGGCGCTTGCTGAAGAAGCTCGGACGCGTTTACTAAGTACCTAGGTAAGGTACGCTGGCTGCTCTTCGTTTGTCGAGCCGAACCGCACCTCAAGCTAAGGATACCTCACTCACCTCCTGCAGCTTGCCGCCGCCTCTTCAACACCACGGACTCTTGACTGGGGAACTCTACAACATCATCATCAGCACCGGCTCACCTTGTCAATAACCCCAGTGAGGCTTGGGGGACTACAGCGTCCCCGTCATAGCCCCCTTCGCCCCGAACACGGCTTCCCCTGCCATCATTGGCAATGGCTGCCACAATGCCACCCCCAAGCTCACCACGACTCCCGAGTCCACCTCCGCCAGCCGAAATCCAGATTGGACCCAAGTCGCCGTCTCTCGGCGCAGCTAGTCGACAGGCACAGCAGATGGAGCAAACTATGATCGATGCGAACGCGAAACGGCGCATTCATCCCGGCACCAAGGCTGCGGACATGGCTGCTGGACCACCGCTGATTCCGCTTAACGAGGTTCGTTCGATATCTCGGGGTCTATTTCTTGCATAACCCTTTACTGATATGGCTTCATAACAGCTCGACTCGGCTTTCCAGCTACAGGAGCACCTCGCAGCCCTCCACTATTACCACACTGGCAGTAACACCCAGCCCGTGAGCCGCGACGCCGCCAGGCTGCTGGCCACGCCCCCGCCCTCGATCGACCGCAACCTATGGCTGTACGAGCTCTGCCGGTTCCTAATCGCGCAGTGCAACAGCCTAATCGTGGGCTTCCTCTTCGACACGCCGCCCTGCAGCGCCGCGACCTGCCCGGAGATGCGCGCCTCCGAGTGGCAGTTCCTGTGCGCCGTGCACGACCAGCCCAAGTCGTGCTGCGCCATCGACTACTGCTGCCACACGCTCGACTGGGCCGCCAACGTCGTCACCAACCCCAAGCTCTTCCCCAGCCGCTTCGTCGCCCTGTCCGCGACCGACGGCCAGCACGGCGACAGGAGTGCCGCGCTTAAGAACCTCGTCAACGTCTTCCGCCGCCTGCACCGCATCTTCGCCCACGCCTGGTTCCAGCACCGCGGCGTCTTCTGGTCCGTCGAGGGCCAGACCGGTCTGTACGTGCTGTTCAAGACGGTCTGCGACCTGTACGACCTGCTGCCGGCCGAGAACTACAAGCTACCCCCGGAGGCTGAGGGCTTGGAGGCCCCTGGCTCGTCCGAGGCGGACCGCAAACCCCAGCCGACCCAGATCGTCAGCAGTAGGTCTACACAGCGAGTGGGTGAGGAGGGCGATGAGAACTTTGCGCCAGTGGGTCGGACGAACACGCGGCGGCATATCCGTAGCAATCCGTCGACGGGTAGCGCTGTCACAACGGTCATGGAGGCAGATGAGGATGATAGCGGTGATGTGACTAGGCAGATGCGAGGGATGCACATCTCAGCACCCGAGATCGTTGAAGAGGAGTCAGAGGTTGCCGAGGTCCCTGTCATTGTTGAGCATGGCATGATGGACGATGCAACGACGCCACTGGCTAAGGAGGACGAGCCCGCAAAGGAGACCCTTGAGGAGCAGGCGGAGCCGGGCGAGAATATCACTATCCTCGAAAGAGAGCACGAGGAGTCCAGCGAAAACAAATCAGTGGAGGCCAAAGAGGACGCTCCGGCTGTCGACGCCAGGGAAATCGAAGCCACGCCGGAATCTCAGGAGGATGTCACAGCGCAGTCAGAACCGTTGCAGACATTGTCTGAAGGCAAAGACGGTGGCGAGGCCGCCTCAACAAGCACGCATGACTTCGCCGAACAAAAGGCTGAAACGGCTACAGATGATCTACCTGAACCTGCGCCGACACCAGTGACAGCGCAAGAGAAAGCGGAGTCGGGTGAGACCGTTGAAGCCAAGGAAGGCGCGAGCAACAATTGATTATACCGCGAACATTGCTCGCCGGATGTATGATAATGATACTGTACTGGTTGGGATCACGAGAGCGCGGCCGCACTGTTTAGAATGCATCGGGGCAGCCGCCCGCTTCAGCGAAGTCGGCGGACGAATTGTTAGCCTTCTTGCTCATGATGTAGTATTGTATAGAGAACAAGTGTAGTAAGCAAGTGTTGAATATGCACTATAGACTTAAGTCCAGCTTAAGGGGAGACTGCATATCTCTCTTTCCCACACCCCTCATCCACCGGATGGCCCTTTATCGTGTATGCTATATATTTCCCAGATGCTGCCCCCTCAAAAAATGTCTCTGTTTTGACTTTTCCTGTTCCCGTCTCCGCTTCCAAGCGATGCTGTGCAGAGATGATGATGCTGTATCAAAGGGGTTTTTTCTCATAGTCTAAATATCGGCCGTCCGTCCGTTCGTGCCTTCGCAACCACGGGCCTCAGTTGCCCCGCCTGTCAATGCCATAATCGCTCCGTTCATGCTGATGTGTGTGAGAGATCCTTCAAGCCATGACGAGTTTCGGAGGAGAAACACCGGCATACTAATACATTACTCAGAAATAGGTCATAGAGAGGTAAAAAAAAAGAAGAGAGCAGTAATTAAAGCACGTCTAAAATAATAGGAGTTAAAATCGAAGTGAAATGAAGAAGGCAGGAACAGAAGAGAAAAGATAAAAGCGGAGGATCTAAGCTCAAACACGGGACCGAAGTGTTGTATCGAAGTTGTCCGAAGAGCCGCATTTGGCGAGAGCTTTGCCTGGGTCGTCCCATCTCCGTTCCTTGGCCCCCAAAAACGTGTCAGACGTTGCTTTTGCCTTGTCGTGGTGGGTATGACAAGTCTTGCCCGTTTTCTGCCAAAGCACTGACCAATTTCGGGCCGCTTTCAAGTTTCACATATTCAGCTTTGATCCGCGTTGACCACAGAAACGACAATGACTTGTAGGTTATTTTTCTTTGCTCCCGGAACTCCGCGAAAACGAAGAGAATCGACTTGATGCGCTTCAACGTAATGTAGCAAAGATATTGTGTAGTTAGAGGGTAAGAGACGTCGTCAAAGTGAGGATCGGTAGGGGATCAAAGCGCCCCTCTTGCATAGCCGAAAATGGGGGCCTTTGGGATCTAACGTCGCAGGTCGTGCATGAGCAAATCGGTAATCCTTATTTCAGGGGGGCCACTCGGACCACATCTTCGAGCCTCAATGCCGACTGCCAGGGCTCTCCCCACTGCATATCTTGGTTGACATCCCGGTTGACACAACATCGTCTCATGTTCGTCCCAACTCCAGACGACCTTTATACTGGCTCTGGTCCAATGGGCAGTCTCCAATCGCCGTGCCGTGTGTGGATCTTGCTTTTTGAGGTTCGAAACCTGGACTGCAATTGATCAGAGTAGTATTCTTGACCAGTAGCGCATCCGAAAACGATTTTTGAGCGGCATAAGCCGACATTGCTCGACTCGCCATTCACGATCGAAGCCCCCATAAACATCACCCTGCTCATTTCAGTGGGCCGCCGTCCGTCTGGTAATCCACATGCCGATTGACCGATTGGCCTTGTCAAAGTCCCGTTATGCATGGTTCATGCGGGTATCGTAGATCAATCGCATCGTTGAGACTGTGGAGCCATATAATGTAATGGAGAAAGTCAATTGTCGATATCTTTGCCTTTGCCGAGCGTGCCACCAGCGCCTCCAATAAGATCATCTGCTGGAGAGCCCTCGCTTCCACCAAGTTCCATCTTTGCAAATATGTGCCGTATCTCACGGAGGTTCTCGGTCTGTGCAGAAACTGCAGTTGCATTTCGTTCGTCTGCAAAAGCTCGTACAGCTTTTAGAATAGGGGTAAACCCTTCGTCATGTGGAAGCCACCACTGAACGCACGACTGGTCTCGGAACAATTCAGCCATGCGGGTGCGCATTGTTAAGGGGAATATGTACCTAAAATGGAGGAAAGTGGAACGTTAGCTTTTGTATTTCAATATCCAGTTCTCGAACCTTCAAAGGAATCCTTGAATCTGACACCGGAAGATTGGTTTTCCAGAGTTCTTTCCGCATGCGAAAAATAAAGGCACAGTCTTTCGGGTGAATTGATGGCTTCGTGTAGCACTAAGAGATCAAGAAACGCGTGGAAAGCCGTAAATGACTCACCCCATAGACTCTAACAAAGCAAACTTTCGGCGAATCCACATATGATGTTTTTCATCTCGTGGCAGGAACAAAGTGGCGATCGCAATGCATGGATGTATGATGATCAAGGTTCCTTTCGGAGTTGATGGCCAGGATTGAATGGTTTCGAAGATCTGGCAAATAGCAAAGGAACGTTGACTCAATTCAGCCAGTTGTGCAGTTGGTTCCGCCTGAGCGCTCATAAGGGCCTGGAATTCGTGCATGATGACAATCGAATGCCACTCGCACGTCAGGACAGTAGTCGTGAAAAGCGGATAGTCGTAGAGTATCCCCAGGGCATACGGGTCCACAATATTGCCTGGATCGACGTTACCTCCAGATTGCGTAACAAGATATGCCTGATTTGTGAGCTCAGGATCGAAGATCTCTTTCCAATCCCTCAGCTGTTTCGAGATCTTGGCATGCTCCTGGGCAAACGTCTCCTGTGGTATCTCTCCTCTCGCACCCCTGGCAAAGAGCATTGACATATCCATAGAAATCAGCCTCAAACGACTCGAACAGTCTTCGTACTTCCAGTGCAAGTTTTCTGGATCAGCGGCAAGCTGTGACTGATAATAGGCGATAGTTGTAGTGAACCACTCTCTGGGCAAAGTTGTCTCGAACCCACCCATCAGACCGACAAATACGTCAAAGCGCACATACCATGTCAGAATCATTCGATGCATGGGAGTTTGCATAGCAGACTGGGGCGTGAAAAGTTGTGTCAGGACCTCATGAGCTGCCTTTTGATGACCCATCAGGTTAACCCAGTCTCCGAGGTATTCCTTATTCTATGTTAGTTCACATTGAACGACTTTGGGGCCTATGGCTTCTCCTCACCTCTATGGTAGCAAGTTGCAGAATTGTCAACAAAGTCCCCAGATTGTGCTTTTCTTTCCTTGTGAGAAACCCCAGAAGCAACGTCACGCTCCGGTTATAGTATTGTAGGAACTCGTGTATCTTTCCGTTGGGATTTTGCAAGGTGTGATGGTAAGCAGCAAAGCCGACCACAGCATAAAGGAGGGCTTCGTTTCGTAGGGCTAAGCTTGGGAGGATCGTCCGGAAAAAGTCGTCTGAATCTTGCACCATGCAATAGTGATAATGCGTGATGTTGTCGCAGAAATAATTCAGGTAGAATTGGAAGTCCGGTGGGAGATGAGACCAATCTGCCCTGGCTGTTCCCACTTGATGCGGAAAGTCATGAAATTGGTATGTTGCTGGGGTAAGGCTGCTGGTGGTTCCTGTCGAAGGTGATGAGCTTTTCGTTCCTTCCAGAGAAGGCGTCTCAGAGGAATGGCGAGTTCCGCTAGCCAGCTTTCTTAGACTCAACGAGGAAGTCGTGCTGCCTCTTCGTAAGCCAGATGGCGCTCGCGATGTCGCTTGAGATGCTATTTCTGGTTCATCTTCCTCTTCATCTATGATAGTGTCGAGTTTCGTGTCCTCGTCCATCTCCCCTTGTTCGTCCTCATGCGATGATGTCGGGCTCGTGTGCTGGCTCGGGTTGCTCGCATCCTTCGATGCGGAACCGCTGGATGACTTGGGCGCCGGAGGGTCCGGATATACACATTCACGCTTGCCTTTCCGGCATCCTGGGAGGTGTCAGTAGTCTCAATAACAATGGTGGAAGGAGAGAAATGGCTTTACTTTCACAGATGGGATGGGTCTCGTCACACTATTTCACAGGTCAGAGGAGTTCAATCAATGTAGTTCCCAATAATATACCTTTACTCGCCTACTCCTGCAAGTATAGCAGCCAGATCGCGTTCGTCTATGCTTGATGTGATCAAGTCCTGGCGCAGACTTGCGTCGGCTTCTCTGGGCCTTTGGAGCATTGAACATGATAGGCTCGGGAAAGCCAGTAAAGTATCCCAAACTCTGATATGGATTGGGTATGGGCGCGCCTCCTACAGACATTGAAGGTGCTCCATGTGTAAGATGAGGATCTTGTTGACCTAGTTCAGGATTGTTGCCGATTCCTGACACCGACGTCAGGAATTGGTGATAATAGTCACTCATGATGAAGAGCGAAGATCGTGTTTGGAACAATCGTAGGCGTTATTTGAGGGTATGAAACTGGCGGCTCGGGAGGAATGTCGCGAGCAAGTAGTCGTAAGAGGCGAGAGCGTACTTCCGCATACTCAGGCGCGAATGTCAAAGTTCTTAACTCCACATCTAGTGTTGTGGACATGGATGTTTGAAGAAAGCGCGTAACGCAATGTCCGCGAAATCAGAGCCACGGCACTCTGGGTCGTCCAGGAAGACAGTTCATCCACGGATCGTCAGTGTCACGTCCTGAAAGACGTGGTCAAGCCACAAGAGAATGGGTATTAGTCCACTAGCTCAACCCGAGAGCTTTAGGAGGACCGAAAGAAAGATAGAACTCTGCCAGGTTTAGAAGCAGAAGATTTCTCAAGGTAATAAATGGGTTATTGCGCAAGGCAATACCATCAAAACACCTGAAAGGGCTGCTAGAGGGACGGTGGGTCGAAGCTACCAGTGTAGTAAGAAAGGAGATCTATATGTCCCAGTGCCAGGGGAGAAATGAGGGCCGACTGTACAGTCGTATGTATGCACAGGGTCCTATGACGGACGCCTTCCTCAAGGCGGCTGTGACACCTAGAAGTGCGCGATCTAGTTACGGCTGGTTGATGACTGGCGGTTCTCTTACTAGAAAGAGAGTGGTATTATGAACCAACGGTGGGGTTCAGAGGCCAAAGAGGAGGTATCACGTTCTGATTTGACAGCGGATATCGAACCGGCCAGTCCCTCGGGATCGTGAACGGGGTATTGGCGTGATAGCGGGGCTTGTTCCAAGT